AGAAATTCAATCATAAGAGTCAAAACACCTGTTTTAAGACCATCTAATGTGCATACTGAAAATTAGTGGCTGAAGTGTTAAGACCTACAGGACCATGTGTAAAAAGATGCATTCTGTATTTACAACTGGTGTGTATATACATATGTGTGTGGATAATACAATCAATTGCATTGCTTGAATTTGTTTTATAGTTTCTTTATGACTCTTAAGTTCACATGAATTTTTGTGTAGCCTGTAAGTGGGCCTCTCATTAGGAGTATAGTATTTGTCTCAGTTGTTTACTTATTTATGTAGGCAGGGTGATTAAAAGTCACTAAATAGAAAGTGAATACATTGAAATGAATACTTAAGAAAAAGAGAATCCTGAGGGTGATATTCCACTAATGTTACTGGAACTTACTAAGTCTGATTACTTAAACAGTTGTATAAGGATCTGTCTGGTATTTGGCTGAGGTAATTCCTTTAAAATAAGCCATATAGGTCACACAGTACTAATAAAATATGTTGATGAATCCTTGAATATTTTGCCCTGATTTTATCTCCTTTGGGAATGGAGAATTCATTAGCTTGAGTTCCTTGTCAGTCCTCCCTGCCTTGTTCCCCAAGTACTTTCCAGACAGGTTTGGCATCAAGAAAGTGATCAAAATGTATGCAGCACAGCCAAGTTTCAAATGAATGGCTCATCTACCACACTGATTAAACACATGACACTGTGAACTATGAGAAGGCTGCTCTGCTTCATTCAGTTTACTTTTCTGGCTGAGACTTTACATTTGGGGGAGTGGGACAGGGTGAGCGTTCTCCGAAATTCTTGGCTTTTCATACTCAACTACAGATGCATATTTGCCAATCCAGGGGTGAATTACCAAAAGCTGAAAAGTTAATTAATTGGGAGCAGCAGGGAGAGAGAGTGGGGAGAGAGAGAAAGGCAGACAGACAGAGACACAGAGACACAGAGACGGAGAAACCTGTTTGCTTTCTGAAACAATAAGTAGTCAAACAAGTTGTTTAGGGTAAAGTCCCTTGAACTAGATAATTAATATTGAATGAGTATTACCTTATATATTTATGTACTGCTTTGAAAAGTTCAAAGTGGTTTTTACATTTATGTATCTCCCTTGAATTTCACAACAATGCCATGAAGTAGGTAAAACAGGTGTTATAACCCACCACTGCCACTTAAAAGATGGCTTAAAGTACAGGATGTCCAGAAACTTGTTTGAATCACATAACCAGATGGTCTCACAATCAGAAACCAACACATCAGGATTTGAAAACTCCAGCCAGTGTTTTCTTGGCAGAAAGTGACTCTGCCACTGTTTGATCTACCCAGAGTTCATGCAGAGATTTGTGGCTACAATTTAATTGGAGAATACAAATCAGGCAAGCCTAAAGAGCTCTACAGAACAGAGATTGTGTCTTTTACATCATGACTGCTTTAGCAAAAGGGTCGTAGAGAATGGAGTCAGTTGTTTTTCACGATGCAAATTAAAAACAAACAAAAACACTTTGTAATCAGTTTCAGGGTATTTGGAGGGCAACTCATTCATTAGATCTGCTATTTATTTTTTTAAGTATTTATTAAATGCCTTTTATCTGTATAAGTCTGCTCCATGCGTTTAACTTATTCTTTGTGGAGTTGTTTTGAACTATATAGATAATTGCCATTTTATTCATTGCTCATTACCACCTAGATGAAAACCTTCCAAGCTGTGAAGAAAAATAAACAGAAACAGATGAAAGACACTGGGTAACCAATTTCCTTCAATTCTCTCCCTGTAAAAGACTTCTTTTTTTTCTTTTAAAATCAAGGTGATAAACTACCCTGCAGGTATGCACAACACCGAGTGAGTTTGCGATGGCATCTAACATAGCACATATTTTAACCCCAATGCTTCCCTGAACCTAGGGAGACTGACTGGCTTAGACTGCTGCGAAGTTCCAGAAAGCATCTCAGAAGGCCAAAGATAAGTCTCTACTAGAGTTTCCTCTCCAAAAAGAACTTTTTCCTCTCAGTAGGCATGTTTGAGGATGTAGACAAAGGAAAGAGGCTCCAATAAGAGCCTGGAAACAACCCACAGAAGTGGTTGAAGGCCTTGTCATTTGGGTGGAAGATAAATTTGCTAATGGGTGGTGAGGGTTCCCCAGGGGATTTGTTTGTTGTTGTTGTTCAAACAGTCCTCTGGACAAATTTCTTTCCTTATATGTGTGTGTGTGTATATAAACACATATACATATACACACACACAAGGAAAGATGTGTATATATATATATATATATATATATATATATATATATATATATACTAAAAGTCCTCATTTAATATATTTCTTTAGTTTATACTATGTGCACACAAACAGTGTCATTGAGGCCATTTTTGTTGTTGATGTGACAGGGCCCACTTAGGCCTTGAAGAGAGTATGTGAAATAATGTCTATGTTCATACACATTATTATTATTAGTAGTAGTAGTAGTGGTGGTGGCGGTGGTGGTGGTGGTGGTGATATTAAGGATTGAACTCAGGGTGTTAGGCAGGTGCTCTACCACTTGATCCACCCTGCCAACCTTTTTTTCTCATTGGGTATTTTTTGAAATAGAGTCTTGACTTCTCCCCAGCCAGCCTAGACTGCAGCCCTCCTACTTGTGCCTCCCCATGCCACTGTACCCAGACATTTGATGTAAGGTAGTCTTCCTCAACGTTTATGCCCAGGCTGGCCTCAGACCATGGTCCTCTGATCTCTGCCTCAGAAATAGCTAGGATTATAGACTTAATCCACCCTATCCATAATATGTATTGTTCATTTGCCTTATATGTCTAAGAATAAAGACTCAGCATTAACCAGCTCTATCCCTGATTTTGTCCCCACTTTGGTTCTCTGGGTTTCTATAGTCTCCACTTGTAAAATTACAGGTTCACAGTAGGTGAGCTGTAAACTTTGTTCCAACTCTACCGTCCAATGAGGCTCCAGCTTTTAAATACTCCAGTTATAGTTAACCTACATCAAAGCACTCCAATCAGCACCTTTAGCACTCAGGTAGGGTTCTGCCTCAGGGAAATTTGTCAGAGTTCAATATAGAACCATAATTCCAAGAAAACTATGTTTATTCTCTTTATAGAATCATTTTTTGATTTGCAAAATAATTTCAGAACTTTAAATAACAAACTCCAGATGTGAATTAAAAATAAAGAATTAATACATATTTTCAGGAAAAGGAGTTTAGAGTGGGACATATAGACATTAACAAAATATAAATATCTGAATGTCACAAAAATCACAGTATTTTTGTAATGCCAAGGAATCCTGATAAGTCTCAATTCCACTTCACATTTTAAAATATAGGAATAAGATCCGAATAAGATTAGTTACTTGCTCAAGATCATACATTAATTAAGGAGGCATGTGCAAAGAAAATCAATGACAGAATATTTTCCATATTTTTCCCTGTTCATATTTGGAGACTACTTTCACACCTCATAGATGTTCAATCAAAGAACATTATTAAAAATAAAATTTGAGGTTATAATGCAGACTTGTACATTTTAATACTTTAAATAGTAGATTCACTGTTTATAGTAAACTAAGCCACTTGAATTTCTAAACTTCTGACATTTGAAATCACATAATATTTTGCAATTATTTTCTAAGATTATGTCTCATGTGGGTTTTCTTTTGTGTTTTTTTGTTTTGTTTTGTTTTGTTTTGTTTTTTGGTCGGTCGTGGGGCTTGAACTCTGTTGCTCTGCTCTTCAGCTCAAGGCTAGCACTCTACCACTTGAGCCACAGCGCCACTTCCGGTTTTCTCATGGTTTATTGGAGATAAGAGTGTCATGGACTTTCCTGTCTGGGCTGGCTTTGAACAGCGATCCTCAGATCTCAGCCTCCTGAGTAGCTAGGATGACAAGCGTGAGCCACCAGCGCCCGGCGTTGGTTTTTTTTGTTTGTTTGTTTATTTTGCTTTTTGGAGTCTGGTTGGTCGTGGGGCCTGAACTCTGGGCCTGGGCACTGTCCCTCAACTCTTCAGCTCAAGGCTAGTACTCTACCACTTGAGCCACAGTGCCACTTCCAGCTTTGTTTTTCTTCTGCTTATGTGGTGCTGAGGAATCGAACCCAGGGCCTGCCTCTGCATACAAGGCAAGCGCTCTACCACTGAGTCACCTTCCCAGTCCATGGTGTTGTTTTCTTTAATATAAACTTTTAGAGCTGCTCATGCCTGTAATCCTACCTACTCAAGAGGCTGAGATTTGAAGATCATGGTTCAAAACCAGCCCTGATACCAAAGTCCATGAGACTATTATCTCCAATTAACCACCAAAAATCCAAAAGTGGAGCTATGGCTCAAGTGGTTAAAGTGTTGAGACTAGAGCAGAAATGCTCAGGGACAGTGCCTAGGTCCTGAGTTCAAGCCCCAGGACTGGCACAAAATAATAAATAAAATAAACTTTTTATTGGCATACATCAACAATGCAAGGGATTTTCAGTCCATAGTGTAACCTGAATCACTTCACCCCTCAATTATATTCCCTTATCTCCTCTTACTCATCTTCCCCCTTTCGGTGATTTTTCTATAAATAAATACTTTTTAGAACATGTTGCACATTAAAATATGTCAATCATGCATTCTAATAGTGGCATTAGCCAGATATGCTTACAGGTGTTGGTAGGATTACAACCCCTTGCCCTTATTTGCATATATGAACTTTATTATTCCATTTCATTCTTGCACTAGTTGCTAAGTAGCTTCCCTCTCTATGATCATTTTACTACAGTGATTGGAAATTAAATATTAGCACGAACTGCTAGTCGCCTTCAAGTCACATAGTTTTATTTATTTTTTGGCTATTAACCCCCATATCTGAAGGAAGCAGGGCTCTTTAAAACGAGTTGCTTCTAAGCATTTCATTGACTCACACTAATTTCGGTCCCTAGTCCCTCCCCCTTGTCACCCAGTTAATTTTAACCTTGACCTCCCACAGCTCTACTGGCTCTGCTAGGTCTCAAAAAACTCCGTTTCCACCCTTTTTCTGCCTCTGATGAAGCAATAGCGTGGAAAAGAAAAACAAAACCCACTCCTTTAAGAACGATTCCGCCTCCCCTCTGAAAAGGCAGAGCGCCTAATGGTAATTGTGGAGTCTCTAAGTCATACATACACTTTACTACTCAGCATTGGGAGAAGCTGCTGCTGCTGCTGTCCCAGCCTGCAGTGAGCTCCGGTGCAGCAGCCACACCGCAGGATCCACACCTACGAGCTGCACAGACACATCTACCACCCTGCAGCCGGGAAGCTCCGGATCGTCGGCGAGTAAGTGATCCTTTACCCATTTTGTTCAGAAACCGTGGGAAAGGGAATAATCGTGGAAAGGCTGTTCATCAGACATGCTTAAAATAATCCCGTCAATTTGCTTTCGCTCGGTTGGTGATGGGGTCTAAATTTGAGACCAGCAAATGCCCTGTCTAGTGGAGATGATGTGTATCTTAGGGTACTTTTTTTTTTTGCTTGCTATTCATAAGAGTTAAGCCTGATGTATTTAAAGCTTTCTTAAAAAACATTTTTTTTTTGCTTTTCAAATGCAAGAAAACATCCAGCCACTCCCAGTCTCTCTCTCACTCAAATACTGCAGATATTTTTAAATGCCAAATAAAATACCGGGCCAAGCATTTTCTAAATGTCGCTTCCTAACCTCCTCCTTCCCCCAAGCCAAGTAGGTCCAGGTCATGATTGTTCAGGAATATTTGGAAATGTATGTGGCATGGTTACGTTATTTTTGGACAAATGGGAGATGGTGGTGGACTCGGATTTCCCCAGCCTTAGTCCAGGAGAGAGGGAGAACAAGGCTATCCATGAATCACGATGGGTGCCAAGACACAAAATTCATTTTCCACACTTCCTACGTGGGGAGAGGAAACTACATGTTAATGGGCCCGTTTTTAGGTAAGAGGGGAGGGAGGATGAAGAGGAGGGGGCTCGTGTGAAGCATCTGAGGGGGAAGAGGAGTCTGCAGATGAGGACGGAAATGGACTGTCGCCACCGCGCCTTGAAAACGACGGGGAGATAAGGATGGGGAGAGAAGTTTCTGGTGTGTCTCAGGGTGGGGTTGACCCGAGGGGCCGTGAATCACTACAATGGCGCTCGGAGGGGTGTGCTGGCGGGTGCCTTCGCCGGGGCGGAGGACGTGTGTGCAAAGAGCCTGGGGTGGCCGAAGAGCCCGGCGCTGGCTGGGAGG